GACCGGTTCCCGCTCACTGGCTGAGCGAGGTGTGGGAGCAACACTGAGGGTTGTGATCCCGTTGCCGGTCCCGGTCCGGTACGGGCGTGACACTGAGGGTTGTGATCCATTGCCGGACACGAAAAAAGACAAAAAGGAAAAAAAAAAAATCTGTCAATTTTTTGAATACGCTCTTTGGTTATTTTGAGTAATAAAAAAACTTCCAGATTACTTTTATCTTTAAGGGAGCATAGTGAAATTTTAGACATGGCATTATGTTTAGAAATTGGTCTTTCAACTTGCCCAAACACAAGCCTTACAGTGAACGTGGGAAGCAGTTCTATTAGTGCTGCCACTGAGAGCGCAGCCCTGCTGTCATGGGGCCACAGTCTGGGGAAGCCGCCAAGAGTCTGTGAAGTTATTCTTGCCAAAACCTGGTAATAAATAGTGCAGCTTTCTTGTTTGTGTAGCCTCACTGGTTCTAACCACCATGCAGCTTTCTCTAGCAGATTCTAGTGGCTTCTGTGGCTGGAGGATGTCTGGGGTCAAGAAAGAGAGCCCCACACAGAGGCAGGGGCTGTACCACTGCAAAGCATGTGGAGCGTTCCAGAACTGCCGGGAGCATTCAAGGGCACGGCCGGGGCTGGGTGGAAGCAGAGGCAGTGTGTGGACAGCCAGCTGTGCCTGAGCCAGCCGGGCAGGAGAGCCCCTGATGCAGAGCAGCTGACTCAACTCTGCAGAAGGTTCCAGAAGGCCAGATGAGCTAGGCCTGGTTTCCAAGTCCAGAAAGAGGAAACAAGGAAATGTCATTCATGGGATCTGAAAAAGTTTAGACACCACGCCAGTGCGGGGCAGTGGCCACTGGCAGCTCCTTAGGCTCAGGTCAGCGTGCCTGTCCTGCAGAACGATGTCCGAAAGGCCCCTGGTGTGCACCATGGCCCAGACACCTGTCCTTCCACAACAAAGGCACACTTGCAGCTGAGGATCCCAGAAGACCCCTTCCAGAAGCACCTGCACAGTCCTAGTACCACTGGATGCTGTTTGGGACCAACTAGGAATAGTGGGACCTTGGCACCTGATGCGAATTTCCTCAAAGCTAGTCACTGGTTTGCGTGACTCTTGTGAGGTGTGTGTCACTAGCCTGGCACTGGGTATGTGCTGCACATGGCTCTGCAGCTGGGCAGGGGGGGAGGGTGTCATGCTTTTGAGGAGCAGGACAAGGCCAGGGCAGCGGGTGACGGCAGCTCCACGTGCTGAGCATCTCCTCCGTGCCAGCATCTTCCGGGGTCTGCACGGGAGGAGTCTGAGGCCCAGAAGAGGGGTCGGCTTCCTGGGGTGGGGTGCAGAGCAGGGGAGAGCTCATGTGCTTGTGAGCTAGTTTAGCAGGGGGTGGTGAAGAGAGCCCCAGGAGTTGCAGGGGCAGCCGAACAGGTTTCTGGCTGAGTGAAGCTGCTCAGTGACCGAGAAGGCAAAGACACTAGGGGATTAGGCTTACATTTCAGAAGGCGACTATGATCCTGTGTTCCCCACCTGGCCCTGTGGGCCAGGACAGAATGAGGAACCTGCGTGCCAGGTGCCACAGCCAGGTTTGTTAGTGCTGGGGACCAGCCCCAGCATGTTCACTGTCAGAGCTGGGGGCAGGACAGTGACATTTGTGTCCAGGGGCCGCTTTCCCACCATGGGATGCTGTGCAACCCATGCCTTGTAGTGCCTTGTCAGCTCCTTGTTAGCCCACCTGTCCTTGGTGGTGAGGTTGTGTCAGATAAGAGGTCATAACTCTTTGGTTTGGTCTGGTAATAATGTGGCCATTCCCAGTCCCAGCTCCTTTTTGAGACTTTGGGCCCTCAGTTTATGCTCTTAATTTCTGATCTTGTCTGACTCCCCCTCCCTTCCCACTGGGAGGGTGCCGTGTTTTGAATGTCCCCCAAGCTCATATTGGAACTTAACCCTCAAGATGGTGTTGGAAGGTGGGGCCTTTAAGAGTGAGTGGATCAATTCATTCTTGGAGTAATGGGTTGATGGGTTAATGGTGGTCATGGGCATGGTTCTGATGGCTTTCTAAGGAGAATGAGTGAGCAGGTTAGCTCTCTTGCTCCTGCCATTCTCTATCCATGTGACATCCTGGTCACCATAGGACCCTGTACAGAGTCTCCTCTCAGAAGGTCCTCACCAGATGTATTCCTGAACCGCGGACTTCCCAATCTCTGAACTGTAAGAATACATTTCATTTTGTTATAAATTACCTAGTTTCAGGTGTTATAAGCAATAGAAAATGGACTTAATACAAAGAGAGAGGAAGCTCTCAGTGGAGGGAAAATATCTTACATCTCCTTTGAGGATTCTGTGCCCTGACTGGATGATTCTTGATAAACATTCAGCCGAGCCGGAGCCCTTAGTCATCCAGAGCAAGAGGCCTCTGTATCCCTGTTTCCCCCTTCCCCCTGCCACCAACAGTCCCTTTGGATTACACTATCCAGTCATGCTCTGGTTCATTCAACCCACACTTGTTTGCAGTTCACCTCGTGCCACTGGGGCTTTTGCCCCAACATGGGAGTCTCTGACAGCTGTGACCACAGTGTGACATGCCTGTCACACCAAGGACGTCACTCCCAGCGTCACTGGCACCTTCTTGTCTAGTCCTTACAAAGGCCCCAGAGGAGGAAACCGAAGCTGAGCAAGGGTAACTGTTCCTGGTCCCATGGTCCAGACTGCTGTGGAAGACCTGTACCAGGGAGCAGGGAAGGCAGGGGGCAGCACCAGGCATGTGAGAAAGTATGTGACAGCTCATCAAATTAAGGGGTCACTGTCTTCATGGCAAAAGCAGCCTTCTTGCTATTAAAAGAATGCACAGTGAAAGAATTCCCTTCAGGGCCAGGATCTTCATGTTGTTACCTTGGACTGGCGTGACAAGCAACTCTTAAAACCTGCTGTCAGAGCAGGGCAAGCTGACAGTAGTAGCTTGGCATAGGTTCAGTCACTGGTGGTGTCGCCTAATAGACGTTTCTAGGCTTATCTTCACAGGCCTCTCCATTTAAGCAGGATGAGGCCGGTTTGGGATGGAACCTTCCCAACTGAGGCTCGGGAGTTCTGTACCTTTGCAGCTGTGGGATAAGCGTTTTTCACAAAGACTGCCCTGCGGTCCCCAGGGCTTTCGTGATTGGAAACCCACCTGCTAAGTGGTGAATGCATCCAGTTTATTGTAAGTGGGAACCGCAGACAAAGTTGGGCCCTGTGGTTTCTGCAGCCCTGCAGGTCAGTTCTGGAAGCAGGCTCTGTGGTGGACATGTGTGAGCGGGAAGCTCACTGGGCAGTGCTCTCACCTGGGGGTGACTCAGGCGGTTGGGCTGTGACTTGTCCCAAGGTCTCCGCTGCCACCAAGGGGAGCTCGGAGGCTGGGCTGGACCTTCTGAAGAGTTGTCTGAGTGGCTGAGGCTGCCCACAGCCAGGTGTGGCCTCTTAAGTGAGGACCTCTCAGAGGGGGCTAAGAGCTGAGGGCCAGTGGGACTGCAGCAGCAGGGACTGGATAGGCCTCCGTCCTGCAGGGGAGCAGGGCAGATGACCATTGGCTAGCACATGCATGACTGTGGGTGCTGGGTAAATGCACCCAGCATTTCAGTGAGAATTTTGAACTCGTTTTCTAAGTTGATCTACATCCATTCTGGCTTTACCTGAAAACCAGTTAGACTAAGCACACTAGCTAGAAGGGCTCTTCTCTGGAGCAGGTCTCTTTACAGTCTAGCATCTTCTCGGCTGCTCTGCTTCCTGAGTTTAGGCATCAAGTCGTCTCTGTTCTCTGTGTCTGAAAGGTGCAGGCCACCCCTCAGCACGCCAGCTTCCCTGCCAGGCCGACGCCCAGCACCCCAAGTTCCTTCTGCCTCAGCTGGGGTCCCATGCTCTGTGTGTCCAGGCACTGTGACTTCATTTTAAGCAGTTCATAAGCAAGTGACTGCCCTTGACTAGCTTTGCTGGGCCCTGCCAGTGTGGGGTGAGTGGAGTGGGCTGTCGCTCTGCCGCCTCCTGCTCTGTACTGGGCAGCAGGGCTCTCAGCTTGATTATCACAGGTTTGTGAAGAGATCAAACTTCCTTAGGGTCACTGCAATCCTAAGGTGTCCAGCAGGTGGCCACAGGAGCGGAGGTCCTGGGGTATTTGGGGACCTCATACTTCATTTGGGTGAAGTCAGCCCCAGTGGCCAGCCGTCCAGTTCCCAGGGCTTGTGTGATCAGAATTCCTGCTCTGCCCTGAGCCCAGCCACCCTGTCACTTCTCCCTGTGCACTCGCAAATTCCACGTGTGTAGAATCTTCATCACCAAGAAAGTCCAGTGAGCCCTGGGTGGTGGGTCTCGGAGCCTTCCCCTCCTGGTTCCTTGGACTGAGGAAGCATCTTCAGAGCCTTCCAGGCCTGGTGTCTGACCATGCTAAACCCTGCTTCATCCCCAAGTTCTGCTCCAGCTTCTTCCAGATCCTCCCTTACAGGTCAGCAGCCCACAAAGACTCCAGGGAAATGTCCAGAATAAACCTCATGCCTCGAGGACATAGGCTTTTGTCAGTTGGAGCCCCCCACCCTCCATTTAGCAGATTTACTGTGCTTTCTTCATTGGCATAGTGGGGTGATATTGTGTCCCTTGCTGGTTTAGGTTAATTCCTGCTGTGGAATTTCATGGCCCTGTCATGGTGCTGATCTTTTGTTCCGGTAACAGGACTAGGGCCAGAAAGGAGTTGCTAAAATGAACTGCCATTGGGCCCACTGTGAGAAATGACCTAAAGCACAGTGATGTGTGCTCAGCTGCAGGATAGTCAAACCATGTGCCCGCAGGGCTGTCTGGGTGCACTCCCTGCCCGGCAGGACCTTGGCCACTGGGCAGTCAGGCCCTGACCCCGTGGGAGCACTGGGCACACCTCCTGCAGCACTGCATCAGAAGCCTGCCCACTACAGGCCACCTGGTGTATGGGACATGGGAGGGAGGCTTTCTCAGTGGGGTGGCAGAGCTGCATTTTAACACTTTGTCGTCTTCTCTCCCAGTGTCCAAGATGTATGCAGTGTGATGCCAAGTTTGACTTTATCACCAGAAAGGTGAGCTGAGGCCATCGAGTGGGGCATGGGAGGACTGATCAGGTGCCCCAACAGGACAGTTGGCGCTTTCTGGGGAAGACCAGTTCCTCCAGGAGAGAGTGGCTGTTGCATGCTTTGCACGTAGACATTGCCCTGCTGTGGTGCACTGTCTGTCAGCAGAAAGTGATGGTGCAGCTCACAGCCGTGGGACGCCTGTGGGGGCCATCCCCATGCTGGGTGCTGCCCAAACAGGCAGGTCTTGACCTCAGGGAGTGTCCTGTCCCTAAAATGTGCTGAGCTCATAGTTGCACAGAAGGCATCGTGGTCAGTGGATTTGGATAGTTCCAAGAAAGAGTTGAAAAGCAGTCATTTTTGTCCATTATTTTTAAAAAAGCCCTCATTTCCCAAGTGAGGCAGTGCTCTGCTACACAGAGGGCCCTCATGGGACCCATGTGGGTGCAGCATCCCATGTGCGAGTGTCAGCAGATGCTCCAGGGGACGTGCCTGTTGGCCTTGGGTGCATTTGGGAGTTCCATGCCAGCAGAAAGCAGGCCTTGGGGGAGCTTGTCCTCAGCCCCTCCTCATTGTCCGTGCTCGCCATCCTGCCAGCACCACTGTCGCCGCTGTGGGAAGTGCTTCTGTGACAGGTGCTGCAGCCAGAAGGTACCACTGCGGCGCATGTGCTTTGTGGACCCTGTGCGGCAGTGTGCCGAGTGTGCCCTGGTGTCCCACAAGGAGGCGGAGTTCTATGACAAACAGCTCAAGGTGCTCCTGAGCGGTAAGCGGTCCCGTGGTGTCCTGTGTGTATCATACAAGGTGACCCGGGCTCCTCTGTGCCAATGCTGCGGACTGTGAAGAGGTCTCTTCGGCTTTTCTTGGATGTTCTATCCTGCCCTCCCTCCCCATTTCCTTCTGGCTTCATTTAGAAGCAGTTAGAGCCTATTCTTCCTTCAGAGAGGAAATATTGTCTAGAATGTTGGTTCTGACTTTGCTTGCACGTCCATCAGGTGGGAGGAGATGCCCTGGGCCCGGGTAGCCCCCTCCCACGTGGAACGCTGTTGCTGGTGGTGGAGCCTTTGTGACAGTGGCCCCCAGAGAACAGGTCCAGAGACCATCGACAGTAGCATGATGCAGACTCTGGTCCTGAGTCACCTCCTGGGAACACAGTCTGGGAGCCCGTGAGCATCGAGCAGCCTTCCTGGCTGCTGCCGTTCATGGTGCCTCTGCCCACTTTCCCACAGGCTTGCCCAACTGGCACAGGGCCCAGGGCAGCCTGGCCTCCCTGCTCTGCGGTTTCCTCCTGTGCAACCTAGGGCATGACATCCTGGCGGGACTGTGTGTCATGTGGCTTTTGTTGTGCTGCCTTCTACTCTTGGTCCTGTCCTGGGTGGCTCTTGGAATGTATTGGGGAGGGCATTCTTTGATCTGGGTCCGTGTGATGGATTCCCTGCGCCCTTTCTTTGAAGGATGTTAACAAATTTCCAGTAGCTTTGTAAGCGAGCAAAACCTGTCTTACAAAGCCACGCCTATTGCTTTACCTCCTAAACCTCAGTCCGTTTCCGCCTTTTTGCATGTTGGGTGGTATCTTTAGAACAGAGCTGCTGTTTGTCTCCTGCTTGTTTCATTTTGTCCTCTGTGTGCGCATCGGGGACTGGTGACTGGGGAGGGTCAAGTGGGGAAGCAGCACGTCCTATTTGCTTGTTTTTGTTTCTCAAGGAGCCACCTTCCTCGTAACCTTTGGAAACTCAGAAAAATCTGAAACTATGGTTTGTCGTCTTTCCAACAACCAGAGGTAAGAGTGAGGGTCCTCCTTGGGAGCAGACAATGTTGTCACAGACTTTAGACCTCAGTCACACTGAGCCTGAGGTGGTGATTTGCAAACCTTTTGTTTGATGTAGATACTTGTTTCTGGATGGAGACAGCCACCATGAAATTGAAATTGCACACATTTCAACCGTGCAGATTCTCACGGAAGGCTTCCCTCCTGGAGGTAAATGCCACGTGTCCTTTCCTCAGAGGGAGGGTTCAGGGCCGTGTGTGCACAGGGTCTGTCGGGCTCTCCTCTTCTATGGGGCCTGTGTTCAGTCAGGGGTGCTAGAACTGGCTGGGTGGATGGGGGTGGAACCATGGGATGATAACAGAACGCCTGCCTGAACATGTCATAATTTCCCTTTGTATAAGTGCTCTTTTTTTTTTTTCCTTTTTGTCTTTTTTTTTGTGACCGGCAACGGATCGCAACCCTCGGTGTTGCTCCCGCATCTCGCTCAGCCAGTGAGCGGCCGGTCTGTATGTGGGATCCGAATCCTCGGCGGGAGCGCTGCCGCGCTTCCCAAGCGACGCACTGTAGCAGTGCGCCACTGGGCCGGCCCTGTATAAGTGCTCTTATGTGTTATTTCATTTACTGCTGGACTCAAACCAAGGACAAAGCTCCAAATGCAGTAACCGAGATTTCCAGAGGGTCTGGAGCGGTGGCTGATTGGGAGCCAGCACTTCAGCCCTCCGCCGCTCCCTCCACCTGCAGGCTCTGTGTACACTAAATTCCTGTGCTTTTCCTTGGTGAGCTTCTAGAGTGTTTAGCCCAGTCTGGGCCTTTTCCACTAAACTCGCACGCTTCAGTAGCTGTCTCTCCACTGAAGGGGAGTTCTAGGTGGTGTCTGCAAACCATGCTGAGAAACCTGTGTGACATAAACTGTCTTGCTTTCTGTTTTCTGACTGGCTCTCGGTTGCTCTCTCTCCTGCCTGCCCTTCTTGATGTAGAAAAAGACTTCCACACTTACACCAGCCTACTGGGGAGCCAGCCTGCCTCTGAAGGTCAGCCCCATCCCCTTGCTAGCTGCACCCCCCAGCATGCTGTGGGTCCTGCTCCTCTCTTCCCATTCAGCCTCCGTTCATGGGATGGTTGTTGCCAGGGTTCTGTGCAACTCACGTTCACATTTGGTTGCTTTAGGAGAGATGTTGGTCCAATGCATGGGTCTATAAAACAAATGAAAATGTCCTGGCAGAAGAAAATGTATTTGTTCAGTTCTTCTATCCTGGTGGAAGCGTGGCCCAGTGGTCGACAGCTTACTGTCAGCACTGCCAGCCCAAGCAGGCTGAGGCCAGGGGTGAAGTGGGTGGCTCCTTTCCCCAGCACCACCTGCCCCGCATGGCCTCTGCTCATGGCACTTCTGCCTCTGCCTTCTGAACGATTAGGCAGGAAGGCCAGGCAAAGGTTTTGCCCCCTCTGTGCTGAGCACAGGGATGTGTGTTTGGCACCAAGCTGGTTGTCTTTGGTAGACTGTGAGTTGAAGATGCCCTGATGCAAAGGGAGGGTCTACGTTAGCCCTGGTGCCTCCCTCTGCCTGCCTCCTCCTGGAAGCCCAAGGCTCAGGTACATGAATGGCCATAGCCCTAGCCAAGGTCAAGGAGAAGGTGGCCAGGACGACACAGTGGCATCCGGACCCAGACGGGCACAGTGGTGGCCTCTGGCAGTGTCCTGCCCTTCTGCCCACAGCCTCTCTTCTTGGCTGTTCTCCTTGCAGGCCTGAGGCTTCTGGCACTGCACGACTTGTGTGGCAGTGTCAGGAGTACAGTGAGCCCTGCTCTACCCCACGCTTTCATAGACCCCTGAAAACCGCAGCACCCTGTCTTACAGGGTGGGACTAGGAACAGTGAACAGTGCCCTGAGCTGAAGGCAGCCTGAGGAGCACCCACCTGCCTCCAGAATGGGGCCCCACACTTGGTTCCATCCAGGGCCAGAGAGGGAATCTGTGCTGGCCACACCTGCTGTCACAAAGTGCGAAGGCAGCTGTGGACAGCAGGGCAGCAGGTGGTTGCAGCTGTGCTCCAGTCAAACTTTCTTCTCACACAAGGCCAGCTCTGTGGTGGGCAGACCAGGCTCTGGGGTCCCACAGGGGCCAGTCAGGGCAGATCAGACAGGCAGGGTCTCCAGGGATCCTTGAGTTTGAAGACAAGCGAGGCTTCTGAAGGAGCAGCTGTGGCAGCTTGTTGGGCCTCTCCCCTGCCGTGCACTGCAGTCTTCCTGCTGACTCCCTGACCAGCAGGAGAGTCGGGCCCTGGGCTTGATTTGCAGGTCTGTGTCTGATTGAAGGAATCTTCCGGGAGGTGGATTATTGCTTATAATGGAGCTTCCTCCCGAAGTTACGAAGTTAAAAAAGCAATAGGTGAGGTTGACTGCGAGGCTTAGTCCACAGGTTCTTATCTACACAGTAGCTCTGACTATGTAGAGCCATTCTGTTCCTGGAGCGGTTTGTTCTTATAGCAGGTGCTGGAATCAAGTTATTGTTACTGGAGCAGTTGGTCATGGCCCAATGATGGCGGGGATGTGTCCCGGTAGGCCAGCCCCCCAACACAGGGTCTTTGTGGGATCCTGTGTGAGGTCTGGGGGAATGGGCACATGACCAGGGTGGGTGGCATTCTTCTAGTTGCCTCAGCTTTGGCCCTGGTTCTCAACAGTGGGATGGCTGTGGTCTCTGAACTGTAGGTGTGAGGTCACACTTCCACCAGTCCTGGCCGCACAGGTGTGATCTGTGCGTAGATGGGAGCCAACCTTATTTTGGGGGAGAGGGGGGGCCTCTGAAGGCAGGAATCACCACACAGGGCCAGGGAAGCTGGGCAGTTTCTGGATTTGCTGAGAACGAGGCCTCTCATGCAGCTCTCAGTGATGCGGTTGTTTGTCCCAGCCCTGGGAGCACCAAGCTTGGTCCCTTTCTTGCCCTCTGTGCACTTGGGGTCTCCCACCAGACAGGCTTGAGAATCTTGTTGTCATTAGGTGGAGGAGAGCACTGTCCCCGCCCCGCCCAGCCACTTCCCAGAGCTGCACAAGGCTAGGAAGGTGCCCTGGTCACTGCCATATCAGAGCTGGTGGCATCCTGGTCCTCTTTGGACCTTCTTACCTCGACTTCCTCCTCCAGGAGGCAATGCACGGGCCACAGGCATGTTCCTTCAGTACACAGTGCCGGGGATTGCGGGTGTGACCCAGCTGAAGCTGATGGCCGTGGAGGACACAAATGCCAGCAGGAGGCCGGCTGCAGCGTGGCTGGCGGCCATGCACAAGGTACCATGGCCTGCTGGGCAGGGAGGCTGGGCCCTTTGCCTTTCCCAGAGGAAAATCTGCCCCCGGAATGCATGCAGGCTCACTTCTGACCAGGCACAGGACGAATCAGGTTTTGGTGTGAGTATTTTTGGTCACCCTGCAGGCTGCCAAGCTGCTCTATGAATCTCGGGACCAGTAACTCCACATGAGAGATGAACTTGGAGGGCATCTGATTAGCAGGACTGAGCCACTTGGAACAGCAGCGCCTGCTCCCTGTGCCCAGCAGGAATGAATCCCACATGTGCTAGGAAATGCAGCTCAAGAATGTGGAGAACCAGTATTTACTTACCTAGTGCAATATGGACACAGTTCGTTAACGCTTTAAGCAGCCTCACGTTTTAGAATCTATTATCTTGTTGATACAAAATTAGGGGTGGGAGAGACTGAGCTATACAGCTGCTAAACTATTTCAGCATAAACTATGCCACGTTTTATGTGTTCCCAGGTTTACTAGAAGGTTCTGGCCCACCAGTGTTCATTAATTCTTCCATAGACACAATTTGGGTAGTGATAACCCTGGCCTCTGGTTTGTACTGGAGCCTGCTCCATCTTTCATAGCCAGTTTACAGCATTTGCCTTAGCCTATTTAATAGACTGCCCGTTTTCTTTGTCACTAATGTTGGGCTATGTACAATCCTTTGATAATTCACTAAGGGGAAGGTGCCTGCTTTGTGTTTTGTACTTTTCACTTACTATTTCACTTTATTAAAATGACTGTACAGTAATTTGTATATAAAGCTTATGATTAAAACCTATTTTGAAAGTACAGATCACCTTGCCTTATTGTGTTAGATAAGCTGAGCTCTTGTGCCACAACAGCCCAGCCCTGGCTCCAGAACACAAGACTCGCAGGCGCTGGTGTGAGACAGCGGTTTATTGTGCACATTTACACGGCCTCGGAGTGTTGGGGTGGCAGCGGCCATGGTGCTGTGGCAGAGGCCACTCCCCAACGGCATTCACTTCTCTCACCACACTGTGTATGATCCATGCACAAAAGTGATCAGCTACAGCACTGCATCAATGAATCTATACACATATTTATACATGAATTATACACAAGACTCATACATGAAAAATAAAGCCTAAGGGCCTGTGTTTTAATGAGGAAAAAAAAAACCTTTCCAACATAGTTCTGGTAGTTTTGAATGGTCTAGTCAAAAAATACTTTTGGGGGCCGGCCCAGTGGTGCACTGGAGAGTGCGCTGCTTGGGAGTGCGGCGGCGCTCCCGCCGAGGGTTCGGATCCCATGTGGAGACTGGTTCCCGCTCACTGGCTGAGCACGGTGCAGGCACAGCACCGAGGGTTGCGATCCCGTTGCCGGTCCCCGGTATGGGCGCGACACCGAGGGTTGCGATCCCATTGCTGGTCCCCGGTACGGGCGCGACACCGAGGGTTGCGATCCCGTTGCCGGTCAGTAAAAAAGACAAAAAGGAAAAAAAAAATACTTTTGGTGTATAAAAAGCTTACACGCACAATCCAACTTCAGTGAAGTGGAACGCCTTCCTTGTGTCGAGGCTGCAGCTGTGACGAAGGTCACTGCATCATAGCTGGCCCAGATGGTCCTCCCATCTCTAGCTCTCCTACCTCAGCTGCTGCCCTGCAGAGGCCCCTCCTGACACCAGGCACCTGCCATCCTTCAGGTGCCCAAACAGCCTCATCTGAGCCAGGCCTTGCTGTCCACCTGACACCAACCTCCACCCTTTGGTGCTGATGATGCCAATTTCTGCAGTCAGACACTGATTCAATCTGTGAGAGGATCAGAACTACACTGTGCAGCAAGAGAGGCTGTGAGAGGAGAAGGCAAGCGTGTGTGTGGAGACTCTCTGGGCTTCATGTCACTTGGTCTTAAGCGCCCTTGTGCCTGTGGCATGGAAGTCTGTCCACAGCCCCAGGCTAGCACAATCAACCTTTAGGAACTAAACCAACTCCTGGAACAGGAAGCAGAACACCCCAAGTTGGGCCATGGGGGGGTGGTCAGTGGAGGGCATAAACATTGGGCAACAACACTGGACAGAAGTTTCCAGACTAGCTCCTTTAGTGATGAAGGAAGAACGGTGTGTGGAGAGGGTGAGCAAGAAAATGGGTTTGATTCTCAGTGACGTAAGGGCAGGGCTCTAGTAGGAGCGCACCTTATGTGGCTGCAAGTCTCACTGTTGGGGGCAGGTCACATCTAAAATGAGGGGTGGACTTGTGTCCAAGTTAGTAAGAGCTTTTGTCTTTACTGGCAACCAACCAGGGTTAATTATAGGGCTTCTTATTGGCAACAGGGGTGGGTGTTTTGAAAGCTGAGTGTTTATTTGGATTTACAGTAATTGGCAAAATTCAGTCCTCTTGGAGGCGAAACTACCTCTCCCAGTTGTGGGCAAACTGGAAAAAGGGCCTCACCTAGCAACTGCAGGAATTCACATTGTGGATGGTCTGCTAACGCGAGCACCATTGAAACCACTTCTAGCTTCAGCTTTCCTGCGGAGGCAGCAGAACAATGTCTTCAGCAGCTCCCAGGAGCTGGAAGGACTGTGGTGCTGCAGAGGAAGTTCAGGCGAGCGTGCGCTGCCGGGGCTTGATCCGAGGATACAACTGGGGAGCAATGCAGACAGGTCGGGATGAGGAAGAGCACAAGCAGGACCTGTGCCTCTGCTCCCCTCACCTCAGTGTGCTGCCCCAATGGCCGTGAGGCTCACTCTCCTCCCAGGCCTAAGCTGAGCTGTAACCTCTACTCTGAGACCCTACCCGCCTTGTAGAAAGTGCCCCCACCCCAGAGTATTATGTCCCTCTATTTCCCTCACAGTGTGTCATTCCACCTAAACACTTGTCCCTGTCTGGAGACCCATGAGGACATAAGCTCCTGTGGGCAGGCGTCCAGGTGTCTGCTGTGTTCACTTAGGCGCTGGTAGTGCATGTTACTCAGGGAAAGGTTGCTGAACGAACGAGGAGCATCTGCCAGTCCGGGCAAGGCCCACAGGAAAAGACAGCAGAGGCAGCCCCTCTGCCAGGGGACTGATGCAATTATAAACGCAGCCTGCAAGCTCCTGCCTCCCTACCCACCCCCACTGAAGAAATTTCTGGGGTGTAGAGAACTCTAGACTGGGGAAAATCCAGGTGGGGTGAGACTAGTTGCTCGCTGAAGCTCCTCATGAACAGAGCACATTGCACCTTGTGAGTGTCTCAGCCTCCACACGAGCTGATGCCCCAACTGCTCCCATGGGACCTCCAGGGTCCTGCCTGAGCCTCATGCCAACTCTGCAAAGTGGGTACCTGCCCATGTACAGAGGGGGCTGCTCAGGCTTGGTTCCCAGCAGGATTCAACCCATGCTATGACCTGTGTTCTATGACTTATGGGCAAGATAAAAAGGACAGCTGATTTCTCAGTGCCACCCAAGGGGCTCAGGTGCTCACCCCCAGCAGGTTTTTGGGCACATAGCCCTCTCGGTCCCCAAGACGAGCCCACCACCACTCGGTCTCGCTGTCGTCCTTGCGCCTCAGGATGGTGATGGCGTCCCCTTCATGGAAGGATAGCTCGTCGCCGTTCTGGGCCTCGTAGTCCCACAGTGCATACACCATGCCTTTGTTCATCACCCCCAGCTTCTCCTGCACCCCTGGGACCAAAGAGCAGTGGTCAGGCTTCAGTGTGCAGCAGGTGCAGAGAGGAGCCCCACTCAAGAAGGACAACACGCTGCTGCTGAGGCTGCTCTCACAAGGCTCAACAGAGGTCATGGCTGAGGTGAGAGACCAGAGCCACATGACCTGGTGCTTCCCCAGGCCCCACGGATGTCCCATGGCTTACTGTGAACAGCCCTTTGTTTGTCCCCCAATACAGTACTTCTTCCGAAGTCCTGAGTCCAGAGGCAAAGGTGTGTCATTTTAAAAAGGCATGTCTTAAGGTGAAACTTGTAACTCACATCTAGAACAAACTTCTAAAAGTCAGTAACTAAAAGAGCTGTGACTGCTCTTGGATGGCAGCGAATGAACTACATACAATTGATGCACAACCACTGAGCAAGCACACAACCAGGCAGCTCCTTGTAGGTACATTGAGAAAGGGCCTTCTGCAGGACACTTTGATTCTGAAGGCCAGTGGCAACTGCTGGGGGAGCCTCCCTCCTGCCCCACTAGGTGCCAGTGAGACTGCAGCCCCTCCCCATGTAGGCTAGAGTTGCCTGGGGGCTCTTGTGCCCCCAGCCCCACTGCACAATCTAGCCCTGCCCTAAGTGGTGGGTGTCCTCTGGCTGTTTTAGTTTATTACTGGCAGGTTCTCAAGTTACACATGGAATGAATGCCTTGTGACTGTTTAACACTCAGAATAAAGACGACAGTCCAGGTCTTGGGAAATCTGACCCTGGCCAATGCAGCTTAATTAGGACATGAGCTTCACTCACCAAATGGTTCCAGAGACAAAGGGCCATGCCCCTCAGGCCTCGCAGAGATAGAGCGGCCCTGCTTCAAGCCCTGGGGCACCCCAGCAGTGAGGGCACAGATAAAGTGCCACCCAGCCACCCGCACCCATGACAGCTCTACCCTGGGGCAGTATCTATGCAAAGTACAGAAAAGTCATTTTTGTTTTTAGCAATCTGGCATAGAATCCTAATGACACGGACCTTCAGATATGTTTTCAGGAACGAGAGGAAGGGGCAATGTGGCTTCCATTTGAAGAAGACTCTCTGGCTACCTCTGAGGTAGGTGGGAGCAGGCTGAGAATACTGCGCTCATATAGGTGCAGCCCAGGAAGGAGTCTGAGGTGTGCCAGGCCTACCTACGTACCATATAAAAACTGGGAGCACTGAATATAGCCCTCTTCCATCTCCTCACACTTGTCAGCAGCAGTTTCAATGTCGCTGATGGTCGAGGCAAAGACGGCGGCGCCGCTCTCCACCAGCTGCTTGCAGAGGTGGACGCTGTTGCAGGAAGCAGCGCAGTGCAGTGGCGTCCTGCAATCAGAGCAGCATGAAGGTGCAGCCTGGATGAAGCTGCTTACCACGCACTTCTCACAGAAGGCACCATGCCTTCGTGCCAAGCAAGCTCCTGCGTTGTCTTTGTAATGGCATGATTTCTACTAGCAAATTATTTTGGACAACGTATAAACTTTTGAAAAAGGGGGGCAGGAAGTGGATTAAGAAATGGCCTACAAATAGATGTTTGTTGCACAGCAATGTGAATGTACATAACACACTGAAATGTATATTAAGAAGTGGCTGAGATGGTAAGTTTTATGTTACATGTATTTTACCACAAGTAAAACAAAAAGTTCAAATATACAGAATGAAAGCTGTTGGACCCTGCAGGAGACCAGCAGGCCCTGCACAGCAGCACAGCCCTGATCCTAAAGACAAATGGAAATGAAAAACACCAACAGCCTCAGTGTTTAAAGAAAGGGGAACAGCTGAAGTTACTTTTCGTACAGGATAGATGAATGCAGAACACAGAGTGGGTATATTTCATGTAGAATATAGGAGAAGGGGAAGAGTGAACAGTTAGCAGAAAGCTTAGGTTACAATGAGGTATAGGAAGAATATGACCTCAGCTACATCTTTAACAAAATAATCAACACAAAAGGCTGGAATGTTAAGTGGCTAATGCTGACAACAGCTATCTTCCATGGATGGAAAGATGAGTATTCTCGCTCTCTCTCTCCATACTTCCCAATTTTCTAGAATACAAACTTTCCTTTGGTAAGGTAGGGAAAAGTGAATCTCTCAACCCCACACCCCCATGGGGCCCTCACCATCCGTCACTGTCAGCAGCGTTCACGTTGACCCCAAAGTCCAGCAGGAACTTCACGATGTGGTGGTGGCCAGCACACACTGCATTGTGCAGTGGGGTGATCCCTTCGTCATTAGGCTTGCTGGGATCTTCCACCTAGGACACATGGCATGTGAAGGCCCAGCCCACCCCCTTGGCAGCACACACAGTGGTGGGGGCTGCAACTCACCTCGTAGATGATCCTTTGCACCAGATCAAACTCTCCTTCCAGAGAAGCATCTAGGAGCAGTGCCAGAGGGTTAAACCGGACTCTCAGACCATGCCCTGTGCGTTCCGAATTGGGTTTCTTCAGGTTAGTGCGTTTGCTCTGCTGGGAAGGAAGCACACTTTCAGTTTAAAGACAATCTGCCAAAGTGAGGACAAGTGCAAGAACCAACACCTGGGTGGGAAGGAGTGGCAGGGGCCACAGCCCTAATGCAGGGCTCTCTCCAAGAGCAGCTCCTGGAGCAGCAGCAGCAGTACCTAGGCAGCTGCCCCAAGCTCTCTCTGAGGGAAAGCACTGCCCTGGGGCTTGAGCCCCTGGCTCGTACTCATAGAGGGGTACGGGTGCATATGGGATGCTCTTCTTTCCAGAAGACCCTGTGGGAGGGCATATGGTGCCTGACAGTCCAGCTGCTCAGCTGGATGCCAGTCACAGGGGACTGAGCAGATCTTCCCACTGGCAGACAACAGGGCTCTTCCTGCATGTTGATCCCAGCTGAGGGCCTCTGTGCTCCATCAACACTGACTTCCCATCAGGAAGCTTTTTCTAGAAGGCTCTTCCCTCCCCTCTCTGCCCATCCTTCAGGTTCCCATGGCAGCTCTCTTCCTCAGTAAAGCCTCTGGAGCTCCCTGCCTGGACCTCAGGGAGAGGCTCTGCCACCCCGGCATGCCTTTTCATGCCCATGTGTCCATGCTCCCCCCAAGGCCCAACTCAGGGCAGCTGGGACACGCCTGGATCCTGCTGCTTCCAGCACAGCCTAATACAAGGGCAGTGCCCCAAAGGTCCTGGCCGCATGCATGACCAGGAAGGACTGGCTTTGGCCTAGCAATGACACCCACCGTGGAGGCTGCCGGAGGGTGGACAACAGGGGGAAGAGGTACCGGAGGAACTTGCTCTTCCCCTGGAGATGGGGCCTCAGTCAAAGGGCTTGGGATTTGTTCTGTGGAGGGGACTGTGGCCAGGTTGTTGTTATTGTCCTCTGCAGGCTCAGGAGTTTGGTGGTTGGTTTGGGGACAGATGAGCTGTTCTGGTTCAGGGGAAGGTAGCTCATTGTCATTGGCATCTGATGACGGGGCAGGCTCGTCAGGGAGTGGGGCTGTGGGTGGGGCAGGGGTGGGCTCTTCCAGGTTTCCGTTGGCATTGGTATTTCCATTGTCCACGTCAGCCAAGGTGCCCATGAAGTCCTGGGAGGGGCTGGGCTGGTAGAAAGGGTTGCCTTCCATGCCGCCAGCCAACGTGTTGAAGCGCTGGTACAGCAGCTTCTGGATGTTGGGTCCACCGGGGCCCTCGGGCTCTGTGATGGAGCTGCGCTTTTTCAGGGGCCGGGGAGCATTGGCCAGCTTCCTGCGGAGGGCCTCCAGGTCCGCATCGCTCTGGTAGCGCAGCGGTGAGTGCACAATGGGTGTGAGCTTGGTGGGGCTGAGCGGCCGTGGCAGGCTCTCCACACCACTGCTGTCTCCAGCTGGGGCAGGGCCCTCCTGCTCCAGCTCCTTCTCAGCACACTCTGAGGATGGCTGAGGCTGTGACACACTGGTGGACAGTGACCCGTGGAGGAATGGTAGCGGCGATGGAGACGTAGATCCTGATGGTAAGACGGGTTTACCATACACTGCAGAAGACACAAAGCACAGGGGCAATTTCAACACTGCTGCTGAGCATCTGTGACTCCACGAGAGATGGGCTCCTACAGGGAGATGTGTAAATCTGCTGCTGCTATTATATTCGAACTTTAAATCTCCAAGGAAGACTCAGCTACAAGAACCTCCATTGACTTCTTTTGAAAGGTAGGGTGTCTCTCTAAGGTATATGTTTTAACATTTGAGTTTCCAGAATTAAGACTTTTTCAAAAGAAAAAAAAAGGCTGCTGACCTGACTTCCCTGCCCCAAACAAGCCTGCCTAGTTTTCTGGCCACAGAAGAAGACAAAACCACTAAATATGCATCTGACCCTTGGACTAACTCAAATGATATAAAAACGTGGGCCTCCGCAGAATAGGAAGGTTTTATCTGGTAGTCCAGGATTCTTCCACCATGGCCAGAATCTTGCCCATAGGTGAAGACAGGCACCACCACCTGGGAGGCCCTGGGCAGAGATGGCCAGGCACACCCAGAAAGCCCTGAACTGAGTCTGGAAGCTGCAGCCAATGCCCAAGAATGTTTAAGGAGGCCCCAGGCCAGAGCTGACCTGCAGGATCCTCCTATGAAAGTCAGAAACACCATCAGCCTCTGCGGCATGTGTGGAGCTAAGCTCCATTCTCTCCATGGCCTTCCTAGAACACCTTAGGTGCCACACCCCAACCAGGCCTGTTCTCCCCTGTGGGCTCTGGCTCAGCTGTTGCTGGGAGGCCAGAAGGGCCAGCAGTCAAGGCCCATACCCTGCTCACTAGATAGCTCCTTGCACTAGTTACCACAAAGCAGGAGGAAACGAGAAAATTCCTGAAATCTCACCCTTACAGCAGCTGGATTTCCTAAGAAGTGCAGGAAAGTGGACACTCAAGACAGGAAGTCACAGAGCTGTGAATCATCTGCAAAACTGCTCCACAGATTCTTTCATTCCCATCTCACACTAACACCCAGGGCTGTACTTTATGTAAGAATTATACTTAATCCTGAATTATATGTGGCCCAAGTGTAAAGCTATGAAATGGTATTTTCTTAATTAAAAGTATAATTTCCTAGCCCCACGAGGAGGAGAGTATACACCTATGTTACCTGCTTTAACTGACTTATTAGAGGCGCTGTGCACGGCCGGCTGGTAATGCTTAGGTGGTGTGGCTTGCTGCAGGTACATGGAGTATATGGAGCTTGAATTCACCGTCTGGGGTCCTTTCCTGGGAGACTGTGGCCTTGACCCTTTATCAGCCAGAAAGGGCCTGATAGCCACTGTCAGTGGGAGCTCAGGTTTGCCGTCTCCAGCTGGAAATGCAGGTGGCCCTGCTGGCGGGTACGTGGGACTTGGCGGCACAGAAATCCTCTGCTGAATTTGCTGCGAAGAGCCTGGCTGAGGGGCACTGCCTGCCTGGGGCAGTGGGGCAGGCTTCTGCCGACCTGGCAGGCCTGCGTTGGGTCTGGGCAAGCTGCCTTCTTTTCTCCTCTCCAGGGAGCTTGTTGAGCCTGGACCCAGAGGCGAAGGACTTGGGTATGTCCCGTAGCTTGGAGGCGGCTGCTTGCCTACACCAGGTATGGGAGGTGGCACTTTACCAATCTCGATGCCCTAAATTTAGGTGTTAAGAAAAAAAAAGGCACCCTTTGAAAAATTAAGCATATTTCCATCCATGGTCACAAGAGAATACAAAGTAGGATTTGTAATCCTCCAAACCAGCTTGTGACCAGGACACAAGGAGCACTCTAGGGCTCATCGCGCTTCCGCAAAAGTGATACCAAAGTACTGACCAAAAGGTTCGTGCACTTGTGCATGGCTTAGGATCTCATGGCCCAATACCTGTTTCAGGACTTTGGGAGTAATGTGGACCCTCACAGGTTTAACTTGCCTCCCGACACCTCACACCCCTCAGCTTAAGACTCAGAAAGAAGAATAACATTGCTGAGCCTGCTCATGTGTGTGACAGAGACACATAGCCTACCAGCTTCTCTGAGGCTCCTAGTGCTGATAAGGGCAAGGGCTGGCTGGAGATGGTGCCTGGCTTCAGAGCCCCCTCCATGCTTGAGTCCTTCCAGTCTGCACTGGGCGTCTGCGTTGGTTTCATTGAGGAGCTAGAAGTCTGTTTTAATGTTGGCCAGTTTCCATCATTAGCTTTAAAAGAACAGAGGATTTCAGTAGAATTTTTCTTGAAATTAGTTGAACCAACCTAAGAATAACACCCTGCAAGAAACAGATATAGCACTGGGACATCACATTCTGATGGAGCTCTATTAACCAGGTGGTTGACCACCCCTGCATACCAAGCTGTTCCCTCTCTGACTGCCCACAGACCTGTGCAGAGACCAAAGGCAGCCTCTGCTGGCAACTCATCACCAATGCCCAAACTGCTTTCAGGTGTTACCAGACTCAGTGACCAAACCAAAGCTCAGCTGGTGCAGGCACAGGGCTGCACCCCAGTAAATACAGGTCTAATCCATGACATTGACACCACTGAATAAAATAAGCATTTGCACTTACTTTTCAAACACTATTTATAAATACAAAACATACAGCAATAAAAAAAGATTTATCTTTTGACGTCATACATGTTTGACCTGTATTACTTCCATTATTAAAATAAAAATTCTAGTTCAATCTATTAGAAATTTCTATTATCTAAAATGATTTATGATCACAGGAGACCAGTTCAAGTTCCTACTGATTTGGGTAGCAGGAGCATGCTATGACTCTGTTGTAGTGATTAGAAAGCCAGTAATCATCCCCACATTTCCAGGAAAGCCACTGAAAAGATGTTTTTTGCACAACGTTTTCCAATCTGAAAAAGGGCACACAAGTGTTCCCTGGTAACCCAGGGTCATCACAGTGACCTCGGTATAACATCTGTAGGGTCAGATTTATAGCCTGTGACTTGGGCTCTTGTTTCTTTTAGTGGCACAGATGCTGAACTGAAGTGGTCAATGCTTCCGGCTCCATCGGCAATGTGGGATGGAGAGAAATCTGAGGGGACTCGTTTGGGCCCTTGTGACAAGAACAGCATAGCCCCTTGCCTCGTCCCTCCTGCCAGCACAGGCAGGAGGGACACCTATGCAGCAGCAAAGAATGCATTCGTCCTCATGACAATGCTGTGCCCAAACCTGTGGCTCTTGAAGCAGGAAGAGTGAGCACGTCCACAGCGAGGACAAGCAGCACCACTTGGTGCCTGTCAGCGGCTGCTGTACATGCCTGCTCCTCAGCCAAACTGCCTGCAGAGCAGCCCTGCAGACCTTGTTGCAGTCGTTGCTGTGCTAAGGACATCCTACAGGCTCCAGGCAGTGGGGTCCATGATAATTCTAGCTGCACCATGCGGGCCCTAGTGAGGCTTTCCAAGGCCCCGGTACAAACTGTCCCTTGCTCCACATGGGCCTGTTGGCCCATTCCAGGCCACAGTGCCTGTGCTTCCATCCCCTCTTGGTTACATCTTAGACTCAGAGGATGTGTGGCTGGAAACTTGCAGTCTCAGCAGAGCACTGCAATGAACACTGTGGCTGAGGGGGGAAAAGCAGAGCCCACTTGAGACCCAGGAGGCAGGGCAGGGCCAGCACCGAGAGGCTGGATCTCTGTGCCCCATCAGGGTCACAGGGAATGTGGCTGTCCAGCTGCTTCTGAAACCCCCAGGAATGGGAGGCTTTATGGAAATCAGCCATGGGGGTACTAGGAAGGAATGTTCTCCTTTCTTCAGGACAAGGCAAAAGGTTTAGAAGAAGATCACTTATTTTTATTATAAATGGACAATTGTCTTCAAGTATAAGGAGATTCTTGCACTGAAGATAAAACTAAAACACTCATAATGAACTCAGAAAATCATCTTCACTTTTAAAAAACCAACCAACCCCCGCCCCCAAAAACAAAGCCCTTGCTGTGGCAGCATCTGTCACTTGGTGTCAAGCCCTTTCTGAGGACAAGTGGGTATATGTGGCCCAGCCCAAACTTCACAACTGCTGTTGAAGAAAGGGACAAATTGTGTTTATGTGCCATCTATTTCAAGTCTAGATGTGATGAGCAGACCTTTGTCAGTTTGGAAAAACAAATGATTGTTGATTTAGTACGTATTAAAGAGTGTTGTAAACTTCCCACTGGGCCTGTCAGCCACATACGGTTTACAAACAGGCTTGCAGAGAGCCGCGAGGAGCCGCAGTCAGGCCCGACGTCAAGGTCTGACACTGTCCATGAGCTGGTCACTCTCGGTTTACTGTGGCCATCTGTGTGACACAGAACCAGGACAGCCAACATCAAGAGGTTAGAGCCCCTACTGGGGAGATCTCACACCCCAGCTTCACATCTGGGCCGAGATTCTGCCCCAGTTTGGGTTAACACAGGTTTCCTATGCCCGGTCACTTGGAACCACAGTGCAAAGACCAAGGCTAGGGCTCCGCAAGGATGTCTTCTTGTGACCCCTGTGAAGCAGCACAGCACACACCCACAGAGAGAGGGAAAATGGGAAGGTTTTAAAATGAAGTCAGCAGCAAGCAGCTGGCTGTGCTAATTACCTGCCATTGGGAACAGGCGACTAGCTGCTCCTACCAGAGGGTGGCTCAAATGACAAATAACGCTTATCGAAGAAAGCTGCAACTAGGGGTTCATGCCCACCAGGGCTGGTGATGCCCTCCTCTTGCCAGGTTCAGAACATGCCTGGAGCTCCCCAGTGGAGCAGCAGATATGTCACTGTTCACACCAGGTGCCAGGCAAGAGAATATGGAGCAAACAAAAGACCAACACAAATTGATCACCAATCCTGAAAAAAGGACTAAATACAGGCCTGACGGCAGGAGAGTAGCAGTACTGTTTTCGTAAATAAAGGAATGTTTCAATATGTCAGGACATGGATTGCTGACTGTGTGTGTTATAGGAAATGTGTCAGCCCCAGTCATAAAATCTTATTGTAAAGAAGCCCTGACTTTTTAATGCATTGGTTTAAAAAACCATCTGATTCTCTGTGGAGAGCCCACCTGGTACTCAGCTGGGATGCCATGTGGGAAGCTGTGTGCGAGCCCAAGGCTTGAGGCCAAGTCCGTTACTCGGCATGACTGTGGAGTCAAAGACCACAGCAATGGTTGGACTTTTTGATTGAGGAAGCTGGCGCTGAGTCGGGGAAGGAGAGACCAGCTACTGTGCTCTGCTTATAGAGAGGCAGCTGCTCTGCCGGGCAGCAGCAGTGCTAGGACTAGCAGCAGGCCCGTGTAAGTGACGCATCCCCTGCTGGCCACTGAGTGCCCTCCAGGTGCATAAACCCGTGGTCTGAGAAGACGCTCAAGCGTCAGGGTTTTAATCATTTGTTTTGAAAAGTCACATGTAGAGACCTTCAGTTCAATAAAGAGAATTTGTTCTCTTTTTAGGGTCATTATTACTGTGGTAGCACACAGCTCCCCAAACACTGCCTGAGAAGGCAGAGTGCCACAGGGGGAGACTGAGTCTGGACACTGATGTGGGGGTGGAGCCTCAGGAGCCCTGGCACCCCTGCCCTGCCACTTCCCCCCACCGGCCCCCCTTCCCTGCAAGAAGAGGACAGGGCCACTCACCGGATTTGGATCTTCCATGGGCCACATTTGAGGCAATAGAGAGAGACTGAGGCTTTATTGGGTCCCCTGGGACAGGATAGCTTCCAGCACTTGGAACTTGGATGTAAGGCCCCACAGCAGCAACCCTGCCAGACGTGCTCAGGGGTGACTGCGGTGACGACGTGCCATTCACACGGTTCAGCTACAAGTCAGGAAGAAACGAGAGTCAAGATTCTCCTAAATTAAAACAAATCCTAAGCCTGGTGTGAGATTGGCAACTCAGACGTAAACCATTCACTCAATAGTGTGTATGAGGAAAGCCCATCACCCTGAAAGACGGGCATCTAGAAAGGGGAGACTTCAGAGAAGGGGCTCGACCCACAGCCCCATATGAGCAACTCTTTTTGATAATATCTACCCATTTATGAGCCATAAAAACGAGGAGCTGACGTGGTAACAGAACAACATCCACGTGACCGACACACAGCTTCCCTCTTACTTCGGGGATGCTCCCCTTCCCCTGGGCAGACACAGAGGAATTGGTCAAAGCTTGGGCTCTGAGCCTGGCTTCAAATCCTGCTCTGACACTTATTTGCTGTGCTGCCTTGGGCAAGTGACTTAACCTCTTGAGTCTCTGTGCCCACATCTGTAGTCACAATAAGGGCTGTTGTACAAGCCATACAGGGCACAGTGACCAGGAGGCTCTCACTCCCAGCCCTAAGCCTGGCTTCCTGAAGGCAGCTCTGCCTTTTTCAGCAAGGACACAGACCCACAGACAGAGGACACTGGTCATATAACACTGCCCAAGGACAAAAGGGTCTGTAACAGGGGTTCTAGCTAGAGAATCACTAACTCCTTAGTGTCCCTAGATAAGGCTCTCAGTGGGGATCCATAAGCCCCTACAATTGTTTGCAAGATTCTGTATGCATGAGCATGTGTCATTTTAGGGAAAGAGTTCATGACTTTCACAATTGCTGAAAGGTACCTAGGACCCTTGGGTACAGACACATCTTTACAGAAGCATCGACTTCTTCAAGGAGATCCCTTGAAGTATCATGTGGGATGAATCTAGCCATTTTATCCATCAACTTGGATAGGCCATACTCCCCAGATATTTGGTCAAACACCAGTCTAAATGTTGCTATGAAAGTTTTTTTTTTTTTTTTAAAGATGACCGGTAAGGGGATCTTAACCCTTGACTTGGTGTTGTCCACACCATGCTCACCCAGTGAGCTAACCAGCCATCCCTATATGGGATCTGAACCCGTGGCCTTGGTGTTATCAGCACCACACTCTCCTGAGTGAGCCACGGGCTGGCCATATGAAGGTATTTTTAAGGTGAGATTAACATGTAAATCAGGTGACTCTGAGTAAAGCAGATTATGGTGGGTGGGTCTCATCCAGTCAGTGGAAGGCCTTAAGAGAAAAAGACTATGGGGCCGGCCTGTGGCTCACTTGGGAGAGTGCGGTGCTGATAACACCAAGGCCATGGGTTCGGATCCTATATAGGGATGGCCGGTTTGCTCACTGGCTGAGTGTGGTGCTGACAACACCACGCCAAGGGTTAAGATCCCCTTACCGGTCATCTTTAAAAAAAAGAGAGAGAGAGAGAGAAAAAGACTATGTCTCTGAGGAAGAGGGAAGTCTGCCTGCTGACCGCCTTTAGACTTGAGCTGTAGCATCGACTGTTTCCTGGTCTCCAGGTTGCAGGCCTGTCTTGCAGATTTCAGACTTCCCTCCACAATCACATGAGTCAATTCCTTAAATAAATCTTTCTCTCTTCTCTCTGGATTTAGGCACTGCCTGCTCCCTAATCTCTGAGTGCCACACCCAGCCAAAGATACCCAGCGCACAACAGCCTCTTATCCATGCAGGCACTCAGTGCTGTGCAAGCTCAGTGGTGTGTGCACTCAGTGCTGTGCTGTGAGTGACAGAAGACCTGGGACACCCTGACTACAGGGCAATAGAGGGGGGTCACAGGCCCTAGGACCACAGACTAATATATAGATGTTATAATAAAAATGAAGTAATGACCTGGAAAGCTGAAAGAAAAGAGACCAGGTGCAGACATTTTACCAAATAGAATTCCTACAATCCCATTTTGTCTGTATTAAGCAAAAGAAAAACCATTAGCAACACTCTCCTCTGGAGAACAGGGTGGAAAGGATTTTCATATTTCTGTACTATTTTAAGTTTTTTCAATGAGCATTACCTTTGGTATTCAAAATACCAAAGATTTTTTTAAAAGTATAACCTTAAACAGCATTTTGTTCCAGAGTTTACAAAACCCTTCCACAAGGGTCATTTCTAAGAATCCTCACAACATGTCCTGGGGCAGGTAGGACAAATCAGTTTACAGCAAGGACAGGAGGCTACAAAGGTCAAGGATCTGCCCAAAGTGGCACAGCTTAAAGTGCAGGAGGAGGAGCATGCCGGGTGCCGCAGCTACAGAGCCAACAGTGCCCCCTAGTGGAGAAGAGACAGAAATGCCCAGGGAGGATGGAGGGCATGACAGGGAAGCCAGAGCTGCAGGCCAGGGATGGTTCTGACCCCACACTCCAGGAAACAAATGAGTCTCTGAGAAAATGAACTTTCTTCTGCTGTCATTTTTGATGTTTATGCCCAATTTATGTTTTATCAGATGTGGCAGAAGGGAAAGCATAATGCCATTTAGTGAAGATGAGTGATTTCTGGGTGAACCATGTTTAAGTTTATCTCAGAAATTTTCTTTTGAACATACCTGAATTTTTTTCCCATAAAGACGCTCACGCAGCTCGCTGATTCGCTTATCCATCATGGCCACCTCCATGTTCCGCTTATTTAAGAGTTCCTTCTGCTGCTGGAGTTTTGAATTCTGCTCCTGGTTCAGCTGGTTACGAATCTGCAAAACAAAAATACAACTTTTATGACTTGCATTAATTCAAAAGTTGAATTCTCATTGCCAGGAAGATTAAAACATCTGAATATATTTTGTGCCTACTATTAAATTAGAATCCATTAATTTGTTTCCAGTTCCTGATTTTCCCAGCCTATACTAAGGAGAAAGACAGGAAGATGAGGCTGCTTTAATAGAAACATTCCCCAGACCCAGGTGAGTTACCTGTAGCTCTTGGTACAGTCTTTTTAACTCCACCGCTGCTGGTCCTGTCAACTTGCCATTGTAAGGCTGGAAGCCGTTCAGTTTTCCTTTCTTTAAATCTTCCAACTGCTGACTAAGCTGATCAACTCTTAAAATTGCAGTCTGTACTTCTTGCTTCTTTTCCTGGAACATGGCACTGAACCTTTCTATTTCAGCAGCTATAATTGCCCACAAAAAGAAAAAAACCCCATCATTTAGTTGGTATTCTCTTTTCTTCATTTCTACCCATTGAACTCAACTCTAGTATCACCTAATGCCAGACCTTAAGGAAAACTGTGATATGAATAATCCAAAACACATTTTGAAAAGACTTTGGAACACATGATGTGACTGCTCATAGAGCAAACAATGATACTCATATTTGTATTAGTTACTGAATATCTTTAGAGCAATCAGTCCAAAATCTGGCTTGGTCAAGCCACTTAGGAATCTCAGTGCACCAGCAGACCAAAGGCTTCCTGAAGACAAGAGCATCCAAGCCTGTCTTGCTCATCTTTATAACATAAAGCAGGCACTAACTGAACTGATGGATACAATCACAGTCCACACACAAAAAAGTGAGCATCTGCATGGCTTATCTTAATGCACAAATACAATTTAAGTCATTCAATGAAAACAGACCCTCACAATGAGTGAGTCTTAGAGCATCCCCACCCCAATCCAAAGGGCTGCTGTTACAAATGTAACAAAAGAAGGGCTACAAGAGATCTTTTAAGATATCTTAACCTAACCACCCACATCCTGTTAGATGCAGATGACAGAGCAAAGCTTTAGAGCACTTGTTATGTATGGCAAGATTGAGATTCGAGGTGAATCTGTGGCTGAGATGGTCAGGCAGGTGGCCTCTGTTTCAATTTCTCTACATCTGACAAGTATGGAGGCAAGTGGGACTGTGAGCACATACACAGATTGCCATTCATAATTTTGCTGTAATCGACTTGTCCTCTCATGGCACGAATCTTCTTCAGCTTGTTTTCTTGGGCTTCAACTCGTTCTTTCAATTTCTGAAGCTTTTCATTTTCAGAAATAGACTGCTGCTGACGACGCTCCTGTTGCTTTAGAAAATGTAAACGTTGTTCCTAATGAAAGAAGGAAAAAAATCTAACTTTGAAAACTGAAACTTATGATCACTTTTATACACTAAAAAAAATTTCGAGTATCACCTATCAATGACTATTAAAGAAACACTAGAGGAATCTTGTACACATCAGACCACACAAAACTGAAATTATTGGGCATATATAAGTTTGAGATAGGAAGAATTTGGGGATGTTTAAAAGAGGATTTTATTACACACACCCATCTACACCATTCAGTTAGTTAATAGAAGTGCTTCTGCAGAAAAGCTCACAGCAGGAGAACATGCACCAACTAGCATAATCTCATCTTCACACTGTCACATCTGTGAGTCCCAGCCAGCCTTAGTTTCCTGCTGTCACTGACAGGTTTCCTGCTGCTACAAAGCAGCTTCCAAGAATCCCTTATTTAACTTCCTAAAGGAAATAACCACTGACCAGCAGAGGATTTTACACTGAAAAGAGACAAGGCGATCAGTAAGGAGACAAATCTCCATTTTTCTAAGTGACACTAACAATCAAGCATTGTTTGCTTCCTTCAGGATTAGTTTCTTCAAAAATAATAAAACAATAACAGAACAATCCTAAAATAAAGATATATGCAATACTCTTCAATAGTTTTTTTCCCTATTAATGTGAAAACATACCTTAAGGATAACAGTCAACATTAAATATTCATGGTCCCATATGTATGCATAAAATATACCTAAATAAGGAGAGGTTTAAGCTGTGATTATGAAGGCATTACATACTACACTCTAAGGTAAGGAAATATGTGCTTAAATATTTAAGATTTAGCATTAACTTGTGACTTACATTGTAGAAGAAAATTTTTTTTAAATAACAGCAATATTCTTGGATTAATATTTGGAAAGGAAATAAAAAGCAGAATTAGAAAATTTTACAATTACATAATACTATGTACATTTTATCTTAGAAATCTTATTAATGGGATAGTTCCAATTTACTTAACTTTTAACTGTCTTTTATTCTCATGAATCCAATAAACTTTATGAGACAACTTTTAAAACGTCACACTTAAATTATTATTTGCATAAAAGTGAATAATACAATAAACTACATAGTCATTCAATAAGTAAAAAAAAATGGATTGGACATTTGATTATTAAGAAAATCTCTCTACCGAAGAAAGCAATAAGAACCTAGTTGGTAATGTTTAAAGGTTCTCTTTAAAGCAGTTTCAGAACACTTTAAGATCATTTACAACATGAATTATTTTTAGCAAGCACTGGTGATAAGTCTGACTTTTTTAGTGTATCAAGTAGGACTAAATCATTATTTAGACAAATTCCAAATCCTACTCTGCAGAGTTTCAGCAGCAAATGTAGAATTCAGTATGAATAATGAGTATGAACGATGCCTCACTCTGTAATAAACCAAACAGGCTCCATGCGGAGCAGAGCACCAGGAAGCCCTGTTAACCAGTGGCCATTGTCTCTGGGCCCCTGACCAGCGTTTTTATCAGATTGCTGGTTCCCTCTGGAACACTAATACCAACTACACAGCTGAGAATAAACCCAAAGGAAAAAGGAGATGACAACAGAAAGCATACTTTCTTTCTAAATTTTATCTATGATTTGGATAAGGTCCACCATTTCTTGTTCTGGGGTGTTTGTGTGTGTGTGTCAAGGGTCAGCTGCTCTTGCTCTGATGCCTTCCCAACTTCCAAAGCTACAATATGATATTTTATTTCAAAAGTGATAACAGAGAGAAAGACATTGCATTTGGCACTCTCATGGCATGGTCCTATCTCACAAGTGTTACCTGTGAATGTATTAACCCCAACCTAAAACGATGGTTGAAAACGTATTTTTTAAACAATGTTTCCCTACCTCTACACTTTTATAACTTACCTTGGCAACCAACATCTGCTGCTGATTTTCAATCTGCTGTTGTTGCCTTGCTGCCATATCTTGGAGCTCTGAGAGGGTAAGTTCAACACGTGGATTCCCAACCTACAGAGAAAAAAGCCACTCTTATTGGAACAGAAATTTATCTGCATAATTGTCCTTCTCTAGCATCAGAACTCACACATATCAGGATTCTAGATACGTTCCCTATCAGTTAGGAGAATACAAATTAGTTTATTTTCTCTTAAGAACTGTTCCTAATTGTGGACTGCTTTCATTAAACGTAAATAAGTTTTTCTAATGCATAAACATCACATACTATATTTACTAAGGGGCTCAACTTTAAGGAAACCTTTGCAAATGTGTATTATAAGTGACATTCCTATTAGAGTGGTGATTTAACAGGTATATTTGAGCAAATGGGGCTGTCAAATGTTTAAGGCTACACAACCCCAAAAAAATGTGCAGGTGACACCTAAGGACAAATGTCATCTCATTGTTACTTGGTCTCAAGAAACTGAAATATACAACAGATACTAAAATACAAATATGTCATTATAAACATCTTATGTGCAGCCTACACGAATAACTGACAAAATCACCTGACAGAGAATTATATATGTGAAATGAATTCAAAAGGTAATACGCAGAGGAGTGGCAACTGGCTATGTCCCCATTCTTTGTTAATAATGCTTTATTTATATGAACCTATTTAAGCTTCAGAATGACCGATGAGGTAGGTACTATTATCATATCTCCATTTTACAGATAGGAGAACAAGCACAGGGCAGAGCAGAGGCACAGAGTCTGTGGTTCCTGACCATTACACACAGCACACTATTTACTAAGTCCATGCCAAGTGCACACTGTAGTGCCAGACATGTCACATGCACTACGTGATATGCTCTTCAGGCCTGTATGGTGGGATGAGCACCACTCTGGGTGAGGAGTCATGGTGGGAGGTGAAGGGACACACCCTAAAACTCATAAAAGCAACAGAGGTCCAACTCCAACAAGTCCATCTTCCTCCAAACCCTTCAGCTCCACCCACGGAGGCCACACAGTTCTTCCTCGGACCCCCACTTTCTACTTTTAGGTTCATGCATTCTCTTACAACCCCTTTACCTTCCGCCACCCTTAAATGTCTTATCATTCTTAATAGTTGGTTCTAATGCCTGTTCCTTCAGCTCCATGTCTTCCCAAACCTTTACGGGGTTCAAGCACGTTCTTGAACAAATGGAATCAGGATTTGTTCAACAATACTCTTAACTGGAACCCCCACTCTGTTTATCTAAAGGTCCTAAAGAAGCAATACGGAACAAGCCTCTTCTCAAAACTAGATATTTTAAACCGCCAAGTTTCAGAAACTTCCACTGAAAAAGAAATGTATTTTACAAACAAAAAAAGTCTGACAGAAGTGTCCAAATGACCGAGACTATTTCTACTTTAATACTACTAAAGTGTGACAAATTTCTACCTACTGAGATTTTCCAATCACAACAAAAGATATTTCTTAAAACCTTCAGAACTTTTACTTCTTAAACACTCTGACTAGAGAAAACTATATCCATTCAACAAATCTTTCAATTTACATTAATTTCATAGTTTAAAACTTATTGAAAAAACAAATTAAAAATTATCTTTTTGGTTTCCTTTCCCCACCAATGGCTTAGAACAACAATGAAAACAAGACAGAAATTTAACTGTTTCAGTATGCTGTTTTTTGTTTTGTTTTGTTTTGTTTTGGCAGCTGGCAGGTAACAGGGATTGAAGTCAGACCTTGGTGTTATCAATACCACACTCTAGCTAACCAGCCAGCCATGTTCAGTATTCTGATATTTATACCAAAACGTTGAGCTTATAAAAATATTTTACTTAAACCAAAAAGTATTTTATTTGCCAATATATATGTTTATACTCTCTTTGTACGTATTGCATGTGTTTTTCTAACCACAAAATTAAGACATGCCACATTATAAGAAATTCAGGCATTGTATCGTGTGTATATATATATATATATATATATATATATATATATATATATATATACTAATTAGTATATATATATACTAATATATAAAATAATAAAATTTTATAGAAGTACACCTTACATAAAGATAAGTGTGATAAATCATAGTGTGCAGCTCAATGAATTACTTCAAAGTGAATATGCCTGTGTAATTTAACTGTATTTTGAATGGGTTATAAAAACACAAGCCACCATAAACATGTAAGCCAACAAATACATAACAATTTACATTTCAGTGTATATTCCCTCACTTGTGCAACGTGAAAATTTAGCAAAAAGAAGTATTTTTTCATCAAGTAAAAAAAACCCTTTTGATGAAAATTCGATCCTTTTGTAACGGACCTATCATCATATTACGTGTAAACTAATCTCCACTTAAATTTTCCATATGAACTCAAATTATTCAAACAAACCTACTACCTAATTCCTGGACATTTCTTTTCATTGCCTCTGATAAGAAATCAAATTCTGTTCCCTCAGGCACTTCAAGATCTGAAGGATGAGTTCAACCCCAGTTCCCACAGAGCACAGGCCGCTTCCACAGCTAAGTGAAATTAGCAGGAAAGTTCTCTAGCAACATCCAGGCAGGCACCTACAGATATGGGTCCAGAAAAACGGAAACACCTCACCAGCTTTAAGCCTGCTCCAATGATCCTTTCATGGCTGCCTGCGGCCCTCAGGGATCAGGGTCCCCTCTAATGCTACCTGAACTCTGGAGTCCGGGAAACATATTTATGTTCCCAAGGAACACGGTTCACTCTCCAGCCTACCACTGACATCACTCATTTTCCACAATAAACACAGCCTACCCCACTGCAGGTCTAACTATTCCCTCCCACCCCCGATTCCTGCAAGAGCAGAGAGAAGCAGAAGCCTCTCACCCTAGCCTTTGCGATCACATCGTATTACCTTTATCTCATATCACCCCCTTCTTTCTCCAAACTTCCACAAACCCACCTGTAGAAATGACAAATTAAGACTTTATTTGCTAACTTAAAATATTTTTATATACAAAATTCTAACCTGACAGAAGACTTGTTCCAGGGACCCACTAGATAACAAGAGACTTTGTGAGACTCTGGATTTATAAGTGACTCAATGCTTCCTCATCCTTCTACCATATCCCCTCACATTCCAACATGGATGGCATCTTTTCAAACTCAAAAGCCCATACTTTTCATTCTGTCTTCCTGTGGAAGAGTCTACAGCCTCCTCACCATTTTAACTGCCTTTCCAGATCTTTCCTACCACCTCACTAACCCAAATTGCCTCTGACCTCTATCACCTCCCTCCTGACCATGTCCTTAATTCCTGGCTGCCTGCCAAGGCTGTAAGTGGTGGTGCAACGGAACTAGATAATTGAAGAAGCCAAATACCATGCTTGAGACCCCAGCACTAGTAAGTGGCAGGGCAGGACTGAAGATGGTGTCTTCCTCTGCACAACAGGGTTATCATGAAGGTGTTGGGGATACATATCTTCTGAGTACTATCCATGCTCAATACCACAATACCAGACAATTCATTTACCTTCTACAGTAGATTGAACTATGTCCCCCCAAAACTCCCTGAAAATTGAATTGTGTCCCCCAAGTTTCATGTATTAGAAACTTAGCCCCCACTGTGACTGTTAAGAGGGGGGGAAATCCTATTATGGTAATTGAAAGGTGCAGCCTTGAAGGGGTGATTGGATTGTACGACAGTGAAGTAGTGAATGGATTAAAAATGCTGGTCAGGGGCGTGGTTCTGAGGGCTTTAAAAGAAGAGAGTCTGTCTCTCTCTCTGCTCTCTCTGCTCTACCATCTTGCAGTGTGAGACCCCTGGGTCACTGTCACCACCACCAGATGGACTCTGGACTTCCCAGCCTCAGAAACTATAAGCAAAAAATTTTGTTTTCTTTATATCACCCAGTTTCAGGTGTTCTGTTATAGCAACACAAAATGGACTAATACACCTTCCACATGCCAGATATGATCCTAGACACTGTAGGTGATATATAAAGAAAAGTCATAATGCAGTTTTCAGTGAGCCTCCATTCTGGTGAAAGAGATGAGAATCCCACAAGGGAAGCAATTAGATTACCACAATTGAATTCAACTCAGCCTGTATTTTCACTGTGAAACAAAGACAGCATTTCCCAGTGTAGCAGTGGGGACATGGAATGTCACCATGCACTCTTGTAAAAGTGCTCTGTTTAGGCTGGCCCCCATCTTGAAAAGCTCATGAGAAGCTCATAAAAGCAGGACATTTCACTACACTACACTCAGCTACCCTGGGTCTAACCATTATGGAATAATGGGGCTGAAAATAAAAACATGTCTCTGAAAACCTCCCACCCCCAAACAATGAGTCAAAATAAGAAGCTAAACCCTTTGTACACTATCATTCCTGACTTCACAGAAATTCCAAATAAAAATATTATTTCACAACATCCATAATGAACAAAAATAAAACATGCTTTTTAAATTTTTTTACAGTCCTAAATTTAAGACTAGCAACTTTTTCTAAAAATATGGATAAGCATATATTCTAGTCCACTTCAGATTCAAAACTTAAAAAACTGCCATACTGGTAATATGTTAACAAAACGAAGTAACAGGCTAGTTTAAGAAATACACAGTGACATACAAGCCAGCTGCCAAAAACAAACAAATGAAAAAGAAATACACAGTAAAATCGACGTTTACTTTTTTTAAAAAAAAAGATGACCGGGCCGGCCCGTGGCTCACTTGGGAGAGTGCGGTGCTGATAACACCAAGGCCACGGGTTAGAGGAGGTGATGTGCAGAAGTGAGTGTGTGAGGTCTGGAAGAAGCACGATCCAGGCAGGAGAAACAGCAGCTTTTCTTTCCACGTGGTAATGTTACACAACGTTCAGAACTTACCCTCTCCTTGTCTCTTGCTGCTTCTCCTTTCTTTAAAAAAATCTACTGAGATTATTACGATTAAGAGATCCTATCAAAACTCTTTTTTTTTTTCCTTTTTGTCTTTTTTCGTGTCTGGCAACGGATCGCAACCCTCAGTGTCGCGCCTGCACCGGACCGGGACCGGCAATGGGATCGCAACCCTCGGTGTCGCGC